GACTAAGCAGGTTGAGAGGAAGGAAAAGACTGAGAAACTATGGTTGAGTAGAAAACAAAGGAAATGTATGATATAGTATGTGACAGAAACTGAGCTGGATTGCAAAAAAAAAAAAAGATAAAGTGAGATATGTAAATAGTGTTGGTAAAAGTTAATTTTTTTTCCGTTTTTCTCCTGCCTCCAATTTATTTTTATTCACTAGTTTTTACTTTTTTGTATGCCACAAATCATTGTTTACCTTAAATGAGAAGTGAGTGATTAGTATGTATGTATGTTTGTTGGTATGTATGTTCTCTTTAAAAATAAACTCACTAAATTGCAGCAGTATCCCCAAGACGATTGAGGGCAGAAACTTTTCAGGATGGCTGATCAGGCACATTTACTTACATATAGTTTTAAAGTCTGTGGGTTCACCTCTCTGTTATTGTTCCCATAAACACTATGACTGATTTAATCCTAATGGATGGGGTGCTACAGCCAAGATATTGGGCACAATCATTTTTCAAGTTTAGGTGCTGAATGGAGGATCAATCTGTTTCATAATTATAATATAGGAAAATAAGGAAGGTTGCTATCGATAGTTCCCAGAATTCTGGCATGCTTAAACACTGGAATCACCCATACTGAATGCAGACACATGTCCACATCCACAGATTTAGGATCCTGACATTCAAAAAAACAACAACACCCTTTTGGAGTCAGACTGCAAAATCATTTTTAATCACCAGCCATCCAAAATAGTTCCTGACACCACAAGAGACCAGAAAGACTTTTACAAAATGAAAGAAAAAACACAGAATTTTGTTTTTCAATATTCTCAACTAAGCTGAGTAAAAAAGAGCCATTGCTGCCCAACAAAGTTTACAGGAGTTGGTGCGTAGAAAGGAGGTCAGCATGCTATTAATCAGCAAATATAGGAGGGGGGCATTTCACATGAACAAATGCTATTCTTGGAGTCACAGCTAGTTGTGAGGGCAAACTTGTCATCTACCTGACACTAAATGATTCAGATCATGCTGACAGGAAATCCTTGCAGAGGTTTGATTCTTTCTGGGCACAGCAAACCGAGACATTCTGCTCTTTCTTTCTCCTTCTCACCCTACAGACCAATGGTGGGGAATCTATGGCACGCGTGCCAGAGGTGGCACTCAGAGCCCTCTGTGGGCACGCACGCCATGCCCTGGAGATGGCAATCATCCCTCTTCAACCAGCTGCCCACTAACTTGCTGAGGTCCCACATGGCCGGATGTATCCCAGTACCCATGCGCTCACTGGCCTGTGTGTGCAGGGGCTGATGGTGTCAGGCAGCAGCTGCCCCGGTCCCTGCCTCACCTTGCCCTGTGACAATGGCACCCCCACTCTGCCTCGCTTCACTCCGCAGCACCTGCCAGAGACCCCCTGGATCTCCCCCAACCTGCCTGGCCCCCACAGGTGTCCCTCCCGAGCAACATTGAGGTGATCACACCCACCTTGGCCACACCCACCCAATCTGCCATGACCACCACAGCCACGTCCACCCAGTGGGCCACACCCACCTGGCACCCAGCGATACATAAGTGGGTTTTGAGTTGCAGTTTGGGCACTCTGTCTCTAAAAGGTTTGCCATCACTGCTACAGACCTTACTGTAGTCAAGCCCGGCCCCACCCAGACACACTGATAAGGCTACAGACTTTTCACTTACTACCAATGTATTATCAGCCAGTGACACTGCTTAAGACTCTCCATACCTTAAGACAAACAGATGTGGCAGGATGAAATGCAGCAGAGTTCTTTGGTAAGGTTCTCTCACCTACTGATGGAAATTTCCAAATGGTCAATTATGAAAAGCGTGAAAAGCAGTGAACTCCAGCAAGGATCAGAGCACATAGCCTGTAACCAAGAGCAACATAGGAAGGACTAAGCCTCATGAACATGAGCTGGTGAGTGGTAGGGCCTGCCTGAAATGAACTGGGCTCACTGAAGAAAATATTCGGATTAAGTTTATTTTAAAATATATCAGTATGCTTTTCAGTCATGTCGATTTCCCTAATTAAGGCAAAATATCAACAAGCCCTTGGATTTGCCATTGCTCCGGTTTCTTAGAACCTTCCCTCTGGCCACCAGCAAACCCAGTTGCCTTTTGGAAACTCCTTCCTGCTGCTGCGGGCCAAAGAGCAGTTTAGTGAGGGTGGGGAAAGGGTGTCAGAGCAAGCTGACTGAGCGTGGAAGAGACCAGCAACTTTGGTTCTCTCCTCAGGCAACGGAAAGGGATCCTGGTTGGAGAAGGAAAGTCTTGTCCCACACGAGACAGCTGCAGAGTGGTGCAGCTCTACAATCTCCCATGTCTGCAGATTTAAAGCTAAGCAACGAACTGCAAAGAGAAAAAAGTGTAGCTGCCACCACAAGATAAATGGGTAGCCTAATAAACCAACCAGGAATCGGAAGCAAATGCCATTTACAAAATAATTTTCAAGTGCAAGTGAATCCGTGACTTCTAACTTTTTTCCTGCTTGTTCCGTGAAATCACCTCAAGCAAGAGGTGACATGAAGCCTCCCGCGCCGAAGACATTAAGCTTCGAGGACGTCTCTTCTTTCCTGCCGCCCGCATATTTTGGGTAAGGTCATCAGTAGCAGAGCCAGCCTCCCTCCCTCCCTCCCTCTTCCCCCGCCCCCAGCTTCAGGCGCTGCAGGAGGCAGGCATGGAAGCGCCAGCCAGGCTCGCCCACTGTCCGGCAAGACCTCGCGGGGAGAAGCGGAGGCGAAAACAGCTGACAGCCCCTGCAGAGGCGCTCCTCAAGGCTCGGGCGCCTCTCTAATCCGCCGCCTGCTCGCACAAGCAGAAGAGGGACGACGTGGTGGGTCAGCCAGACCCAGCAGCCTTCAACGCCTGGCTGGCTAGCTGCAGACACTACGGCTGTAACCTGGGAAACGAACCACCGATTAGGCGGCCCAGGGGGCGGATGGGGGGGGAGGAGCTCTCGATCTTCAATGCAGTGGCCGACCCGAGAGGGGGGAGAACGGAAAGAGACCCTGCAATAAATCCCGTGCGCTGAAAGCTGGCAGCTGTCGCCTTAAAGGAAGGGAAGGGGGGGGAGGGGGCGCTAAATCTTCCAAACAAAACTTTGCTCAGCAGCCACGAACCAAGCGCTCACTCCCCCCCCATGCCCTCCCCCCAAAAACCCCAAGGACCAGGAAAAACGAGAATCCCCCGAACCTTCCCGGCGGCTCCACTTACAGCCTCGGCGGGCAGCTTCGGCCGCTTCTCTTCCTGCTGAAGGAGAAAAGGAGCCGAGGTCCCTGCCCCGGGTTGGCTTTCGGGATTGAGGGAAGAGCCCGCCCTCTTCAGGGGACCTCCCGAAGCTGCTCTTTTGCCGCTGGCGCTGCTCGGAACCGCACGCGGCACACACCCCAAATCCCCCCTCGCTTTTTGTCTGGAGCCACTGATCTGAGACCAGCGTGGATGTGCTGCTGCGGCAGCAACACCTCCCCAGAAAGAAAGCAGGGAGGGACGGAGGGAGGCGGCACGGAAGGTGGAAGGAAGCCAGAGGGACCTACGCCATCCCCTCGGCAGCACCCGAAGGGAAGGGAATTACTTCACCGCCGCAAACTTTTCCGCAAGACTTTCCTCCTTCCTGCCCTGCATCTACCTAAAGAACCAAGAGAAAGAAGGCCTCTTCAGATTATTTCACCTACCAGAGGCTAAGCGGTCCAGAGCTACAAGAATAACAGCCGTGAAACCGATGGAGGAAGGAGAGCTGCACCCGCCACCCCGGGCAGTCCGTGTGTGCGTGTGGCGCGCGCGCTGGCGCTAGCCGGATTAGAGAGGCAAATCCAGACCGTGCACAGTGGTGATGCTGGCGATTTTAACACCTGCCCCCAAGGTATCCTCGCTCCAAAAGGGACCTCAGCGAAGCCGACTCCCCGCCGGACACATTCAGGAGTGGCAGCGAAGCCCAAAGCAGACGGCGGCGGGCATATTAAGAAAGAGGTCGGAGCGGGTAAAGTCAGGATTGCAAACAAGTTGATCGCGCTAAAAGATAGCTGACGAGAACATTCTTGCCCTCCCTCCCTCCCTCGATCCCACGCCAGCAACTCCTCGACAAACCCACCTCTACATCCTCGCTCTGCAAGCGCCGAGACTGGCGGACCACATTGCAAAGGGCTGCCTCTCGCTGCTGCTGCCGCTATTGCTAATGCCCGGGGCTGTAAGCAAAACCCGGACCGGACTCTCAGAGCAGGCACTCATTTGGCTGCCTGATTTCTCCTCCCCTTCTGCAGCTCGCGCTTTCTCTGCCCTTGTCTTTAGCGCTCCGACCGTGAGTATCCCTCTAGCGTCCCTAAAAGCCACAAGTCAACAGTTTCGTAGCAATCGGTTCATTGGCCTTCCGAGGCTGGGGGTTCGTTCTTTTGGGGTTACGGTCGCTTAATCCAAACAACGCTGCTATCCCCACCCGAGTCCTTGCATCTTCTTCCCAACGCTCTTTCTGAGGTTCAATCTCCTCCCCCCCCCCCGCCCCATCCTGAGAGAATTCCGATAGCAATACTGTGGCAAGTTCTTTCCCTTTAAACACACGCACGCGATCCGAAGTAGAGATGCAAAACTTTGAAGTGTTAGTTCCGGGAGGTAGCTGGGCTATACGGCACCACATTCAGCGTTCCTCGGTAGAGCCAGACGTTTGCAAGTCCACCAAAGCGAGTATATTTTTGGAGAAAGGGATGAAGTTTCGAGATCTTCGCCGGAAGGCTGGTTTCAACCACAAGTAAGGGGCGCGTCTAACAGAAGAGGTGAAAAGGGGATAGGCTTGAAGTAAACTAACAGTGAATGTAAACAAATTAGCATCAGATGTAAACAAAGCCTGGTTCAAAGTGAGCTTTGTGGTCATCCACCTCGGCTTCTAGGAAGACATCCAATTTTGTTTACAGTGAATTTGAATGTGAGCTCAACAATTCAGAATAATACTAAATTTTATAGTGGCAGGAAAATAGGAGGACGGCGCGGCCCAAACCCTCCCCTACGTACCAGAATCAGGCACGATCCAGCCGCTTGGGTCAGCTGTTGGCTGGACTCTCCTCAGCTGTCATGTTTCCATAGCGGCTACGTGGGCGGACCCTTGATCCCTTTAGATTCCAGTAACCGCGTGACCCCCAAAGACGCGGACTTGAGCCATTTTCTCTGCCTTCCACCGCCAAGAGGTGCCCCCTCTCCTTCCTCTCGCGTAAGGCTACAGGGCAAGCTGCAAATAGCATGGCTCCTCCCTCAAGGCTGGGACGTGATGAGCGCAGTATGGGTGGGCTCGGAGGAACCAGGCACCCTTTCCCACATAACTTTCAGCACGGGAGGGGGAGCGCGGGCCTTCGCAGCGCCTCGGCCCCGGTCAGTGGCTTGAGTGCGTGACTCGCCCGAGGATCTGTGTGGGATGAGGGAGAGGCATACGTGGGCAATTTGATTCTCCCCAATGTGCAGCGCCGTACGGCAAACGCCTGAGAGAGAACCGCCGAGCTCAAGCTAAAGAACAGCGCGCGGCAATTATGAGCCCGTCCACCCAAATTTAGTTTCGATTCCCGTTGATTGCGAGACCGAAAAATAAATTTAATTCGGAGTGATATCAATGAGCCACTGTCGTTTCGTTTAAGCGCTAGGGATTCCAGTTTCGGCTACTGGATTAAGAAAACATTAAATACATTAATAAAGCAGACCTAAGTGTTAGAAAAAAAGTGTTACAAATACATTACGGCAACACAGGACTTCTGGTTGCCGTAATATATTGTGCAGACTATATAACAAGGCTGATATTAGATGGTGACCAGCCGCGACCCTTTTTTGATTTTCCAGATTCTTCTTCATGTCACACTCAAGAAGAGTTATAAGAATATTATGTAATATTTATTAAATATTTTCCTTGTTAAACTGTCTTATTCAGTGCCAAATTTTGGATTATATTTTAACTTGCTATTTGAGCCTTTTGCTTGTAAATAAATTGATTGCTATTACTGCTATCAATGTGTGTCTGGTTTCTTTAATGAAAACATTTATATTTTGTCTTTTTTCTCCAAGCTATCCAAACAACATAATAAATCTATTTTAAACACAGTGAAAAACAGCTAATTGATGAAAAGACCATACGAAACAGAAGGAAAGCAAGATTAAAAACAGCCAGTGGAGGAAATGGGGCTCAGTCATTACCTGAAAAGTAGTGACTTGACCTGGCCCACAAAAGGGAGTGGAGGGAATATCAAGTTTCTTTCCCTGGGAGCAAATTCCAAGGCTGAAGACCCCATACACCTATTCACAAGTAAACACTCAACATTCTTCAAATAGTGTTGAGCAATAAAAAGGGCTTGGGTTGAGAACCCAAAGTTCTCAGTATTTATATACAGGAGTGGAGATGGATCTCCTAGCTGTTTTCAAGAATGGCTAGCCAGAGATTTTAAGGGGTTGTCCAAGGAAGGCAGAAACCACAATTTCCGGTGGTTTGCCTTAGCATTTGATAATTGGAACCATGTTGCTGCTGGACTGGAAGTTCCTTTAGCTGTTGTGACTCACACCAAATGCTGTTTGTCTTGCATAAACCTACTCCATTCTTTTGAAGAATATCTAATGCAGCCTTATGACAATTATATTGACATGAATTAGGTCAGCTAAATTCACTTAATGACCCTGAATTTTACTTTTTTCCATTGTTCTTACAATAAGTTAATATTATTTGCAGCACTACATTTTAAATTCCCACCTCATTTTGTAGGGTCAGAAGGTCATAGGGAATCCTCTAAGCAAACCCTAGAATCAGTCAATAAAGGCTGGTGCCAGAAGTTATTGACTTGGCTGAAAAAGAAAATGTACCAAATTCTCTTCAGGTTAAGTGAGCCTTTCCCTATTGGGTGCTAGACGAAGACAGAATCACCCATATGCTTTTCCACAGGATAAGGTAGAACAGCAGTGAGAAGCTTAGAAAATGGATATCGCAAAACTACAGTTCCCAATAGCTGGTCAATAGTCAGGAATTATAGTTCAGTAACACAGGAAGAGCCACATTTCTCCATTTATACTGTAGAATGTGCATTTAACAAATGGCAAACTAGTAATATTATACACTCACTAGTAGTCCACGGTGCCTTTAAAACACACATCTGAAATAATGCTGGGGATAGAAAACCTGTCCAAATGGGAAAGGGAAAAAAGAAGGGGTGGGGGAGACAAACAACAAAGCATAAGCCAGAGAGGAATTGGAAGAATTAAAAATATACACACCAAAGTCTGAATTTATTGAAGGAAAATATGGAAGTCACTAACGCTAAATTAATTTGTACCAGATCACATGGAACCAATAGCTATGTATGAACTAGATTTTATTTATGGGATTTATCTGCAAATTTATGATATGGAGAGATGACTATATAATTAACTGAGAAAGGGAAGGAATAGGCAGAACAAAATAACTAAAGTTGTTATTATAGACATAGGTATAAATGATACATGACAGCATAAATAACCATCCAAACCATCCACCCTGATAAGGTAGCAAAACAAGAGTTTTCATTTGATAACTTTCTAGATTACTATACCTAAACTAAAGAAAGCATGTTGGACCAAAGTTAAAAAAAAATTGGTGTTGAAAATAAATTATGAAAGAGGGCATATAGCTTGATTTTGGATAGTACAAACTTTAGGGTATTTTCTAAGGATGTACATAAAACAGCAAAGACTTTGTTCTGAACTTGGAACAAAACAAAGTACAACAAAACAGAACTCAAAGTGTTTAAAATTTTCTAGTTATAGGTAATAGGAACATTAAAAAAGCCTCTTGATCCTTTTTTAATGCTCCAGGGTAGTAAGTCTAGATAGGTTAGCAATTAATAGACTGTTAAGAGCCAGAAAAAATGGACAGATTATTTTAAAACATTTTTAAGAACTCCTAGTTACAAACTTGACAAGTATTTTGCCGTGGTGTTGATATTCAGGCCAGCTTCAGTGCAAAGGGAGATAAGATGCTTGTTAATTTTAAATATATATATTTGTTGTATTCTTTCAATTTTTACCAAAGCACACCATCTGAAGATAGGAAGAAAAGCTAGACAAAAAATCAATCCTAGTCAGTCCATGCAAGAGGAGTAATTTCTGAGATGTTTATTGAAATCACACTCTTTCCCCTATTTTACTATAGGATGGTTTGTAAATCAGCATCAGTTTAGACCAGCGGTTCTCAACCTGTGGGTCGCGACCCCTTTGGGGATCAAACGACCCTTTCACAGGGGTCACCTAAGACCATCGGAAAACACATATTTCTGATGGTCTTAGGAACCGAGACACCGCTCTGCATTCGTCTCCACATGGCCTCCTCCGCCATTTGCAGAGAGAGAGACAGAGAGGCACTTTCGCTTCCCTTCTCTCTCTCTCAGGTGGACTTACCTCCTGCAGGGCTCCTGATTGGCCCTGCAACCAGATGCCCCATCCCATGGGAGAAGTGTGGCCAGGGCCTTGTGGCCTTTGAGCCTCCTGGGGAAGCCCCGGGATCCCTGCTGGGAGCGGCCTGCTGGAGGCTCCGCTGAGCGGGCCAGCCCTCTCGCAAGCCACGGCCCAAAGGAGACCAGCCCCTGCGATCCCCAGCCAGCCCGACCATTGGACCCGCTGACCGGGAAGGCGCGCCGGAGTCCAGGCTGCCGGGAAGGAAGGAAGGAGATGCAGCAAAGGTAGGAGAGGAGAGCCGCCTCCTGGGGCCAGCGCTGGCGGCGGCTTCCTTGCCCTCCTCTTCCACCTCCCCTTCTTCCTCCTGCTGCCCCCAAGGTGGCTCAGGCGGGCGCCGGGGCAAGAGGGGTGCCTGGGGGGGAGCAGCCAGGCTGGCAGAGGGGCTGGCAGGGGCCGTGTGACACCAACCCCACTGCAGTTCCATTGGATGGGTGCAGGGCGAGGCCGGGCAGCGCGGAGTCCCGGCTGGGCAGCAGCAGCGGTTTCCTCGTCCTTCTCTCCTTCCTTCTGGTGCCCCCTCGGCGGCTCGGGAGTGCTGGAACAAGAGGGGTACCTGGGGGGGAGCAGCTGGGTTGGCAGAGGGATGGTAGGCTGCGCGGCACCAGCCCCCAAAGCGGCTTCATTGATGGACAGAGGACGAGGCCGGGCAGCGCGGAGTCCTGGCGGGGGTGGCGGCCGGGCCAGGGGCGGCGGGGACCCCCGACGAGGCTGCTGTGCCGCCGCCACTGGAGCCTCCACCTCCCGTCTTGCTCCCCCTCCCTGCCCGTTTGGCTGAGGACGCAGCGGGGTGGTGGCCGGGCCAGGGGCGGCAGCGAGGAACCCCGACTATGCTGCTGTGCCACCACCGCCGGAGCCTCTGCCTCCTGTCCTGCTTCCCCTCCCCACCCGTTCGGCTGAGGACGTGGCGGGACGGCAGCCAGGCCGAGGGCAGCAGTGAGGAACCCCGACAATGCTGCCGTGCCACCACCACGGGAGCCACTACCTCCCGTCCTGCTCCCCCTCCCCACCCTTTCGGCTGAGGACGTGGCGGGGCGGCATCAGGGCCAGGGGGGGTAGCGAAGAATCCCAACAATGCTGCCATGCCACTACTGCCGCCGGAGACGCTGCCTCCCGTCCTCCCCCTCCCCATCCGTTCGGCTGAGGATATGGCGGAGGCCAGGCTGGGGGTGGCGGGCACCCCCGACGATGCTGCCGTAAGATAGAGAAAGAGAGAGAGGAAAGAGAGAGAAACAAAGGAAAAGAGAGAGGAAAGAGAGAAAGAGAGAGAAGAGAGAATGAGAAAGAGGGAGAAAACAGAAAGAGAGAGGAAAGAGAAAGAGAGAGGAAAGAGAGGAAAAAGAGAAAGAGAGAAAAGAAAAGGGGAGAGGAAAGAGAAAAAGAGGAAAGAGGGAAAGAGGAAAGAGGGAGAGAAGAGAGAGGAAAGAGAAAGAGAAGAGAGGAAAGAGAAAGGAAAAAGAGTGGAAAGAGAAAGAGGAAGGAGAAAGAGAGAGAGAAAAGAGAAACAGGAAAAGAGGAAAGACAAAGAAAGAGGGAGGAAAGAGAGAAAAAGAGAAAGAGGAAAGAGAGAAGAAAGAGAGGAAAGAGAAAGAGAGAGGAAAGAGAGAAAGGGAGAGGAATGGCGCTTCTCCAACCAGGCTGGGTGGAACCGGCGGAGCGGCCTTCCTGCCCCCCCTCCCCAGCCAGCTGGATGGGGGGCTGGGGGTCACCACAACATGAGGAACTATATTAAAGGGTCGCTGCATTAGGAAGGTTGAGAACCACTGGTTTAGACTATCTTCTGTTGCTTCAGTACTTAATTTGTAGGTTGAACCAGCAGATATAGGAGTTTTAGGAGATCGTATTTAAGAAATTTTGCATCTTTCCGATGAGTGATGCTGAAAACGCAAGTAGCTGAAGCAATAGCTTCTGCTTCACAGAATGAACACATCAGCAAAATAAATAAATAAAGATGAGTTTCTATCCGGGAAGAGGCCCTACATGGGAAATACAAAACTCCCTATCCTAATGCCTGCATTTATATCCTAAAAATTCAGCAATGAAAAAGAGGAAGCATAAACCATGAACAATTCACTTCTTAGAAGAAAAAAAACATACCCACCCCACCCTTTGTGCACCTGAAATGCACTTTGGCAGACAAGCCAGTCAGCAAGTTAAAACATGTCTTTGTAAAAGAGTGCACTATGGACTGCATCAATAGTGCACAAAAATATACTACTGTAAACATATCCCCCAAAGCTCAACTAAACAACCCTAGCCAACTAGCAAAGTCTTTGCATTCTACCAAGAATAGGGCAAAAGAAATGTAACCAAACCAAACCAGCACAAAGAGATTTGAGGGGGGAAAAGAGATTACATTTTCGCTTTGCTTAGGTATATATATGGGAATTCCCTGAATGGTTCTGCTGATTGTAGGGCTTTCAGAGTGCCTTTGAAAATGAAACTTCATCTTTAAAGGCATCTGGAATTTTTAGATTATAAAAACATGCACAGAATACACAT